TGTTTCTGGGAAGGAAGAACCAATATAGTGAAAATGGCCATACTTCCAAAACTGCTATACAGGTTCAATGCAATCCAAATTGAAATTCCAACAGTATGTTGCATAGAAATATAGAAAATAATCCAAAAATTCATTTGGAACAAGAAGAGACCTAGAATAGCAAAAGCCACTCTAGGCAACAGAAGCATGGCAGTGGGATGTCACAATCCCCAACTTGAAACTATCTTACCAAAAGCCACTGTGATAAAATCAACATGGTATTGGCAAAGAAAAAGACCCCAACATCAGTGGAATAGATTGGAAGATATTGAAACAACTCCCTATGTATTCAGCTACCTCATATTTGACAAAAGAGCCAACCATCCTTAATAAAGAAAAGATAGCCTTTTTAATAAGTGCTGTTGGAAAAACTGGATTTCAACTTGTCAAAGATTAAAACTAGACCCCTATCTTTCACCATGTACTAAACTAAAATCCAAGTGGATTAAAGATCTAAATGTTAAAACAGAAACACTAAACTTTCTGGAAGATAAGTTAGGTAGAACTCTCAAAGACATTGGCATAGGAAAAGACTTTATGAACAAATCCTCAGTAGCATGGGAAATAGCATGAAGCATCAACAACTGGGATCTCATCTTTTTAAAAAGCTTCTGCACTGCAAGAGAAACTATCAACAGAGCTAAGAGACAATCTACAATTGGGAAAAATTTTACCAGCTATTTCTCAGTCAAAAGACTATTATCTAGAAAAAAATAAAGATCTAAAAAAAATCAGGCTTCCGAAATATAAAGACCCAATTCAAAAATGGGCATCTGAAATGAACAGACATTTATCAGACAGTCAAATAAAAGCAGCAAAGAAATACATGAGAAAATGTTCAGCATCACTTGTCATTCAAGAGATGCAGATGAAAACAGCATGGAGATTCTACTTCACCCCCGAAAGAACTGCTGCTATCAAGAAATCATCCAATAACAAATGTTGGCAGGGTTGTGGAGAGAAAGGAACCCTTCTTCATTGTTGTTGGGAGTGCAGACTGGTGCAACCACTGTGGAAATCAAAATGGAGATACCACAAACAACTAGGATTAGAGGTTCCATTTGACCCGGCTATCCCTCTTCCTCGTATCTTTCCAAAAGAATTAAAAGAATCACACCAGCCTACCTTCCCGGCACTTGAGCGATGGCTGCTAAATATGTAAGGTCATATCTACGTGGGTTTGATTACAGAAACTAATAAAGTATTCTGTAAATAATGAAAAAAAGAATAAGATAAGACTATAAGAGCGAGAAGCAATTTAAATATGTTCAGGGACCATTTTCATCTCCAGAATTAAGGATTATTTTGATGTTACATCATTGCCTTTTCTCTTTTACTTTCCTTTTTAGTTTTATTTTAGGATTCCCTATTTTTAATGTTCATACAGAGATTTCTTTAACTGAAATACCGAATAGTTTCTTTGGTGTGAAAAACTATAATAGTACACAGGATCCTAATGAGATAATTAATAATGTGAAATAGGAAGTAAAGGGCTAAAGGTGTAAGGAAAGTGGGAAGGGTGGGGGAGAGGTAATAAGGGAGAGGAAAAAATATGAGAAACTGAAAGAATGGAAATAAAGTGTTTGTAAATGGGGAGGGAAGGAGGGGGTGAAGGGAGGGCAGGGACAAGGGGAAAAATGAGAATCAAGACCTAATATGTAAAGGTACAGAATCCCAATGACGAATGTAATTGTATTGTATACCTAGATTGTACCAATAACCTCAATAAAAAGAAAAAAAAAAAGACTCACACCATAGTGATATATGTGGACCCATGTTTATAGTGGCACAGTTTGTAATAGCTAAAACTTGGAAACAGCCCAATTACTCATCAATAGGAGACTGGATAAAGAAGATGTGGTTTTTCTATAAAATAGAGTACTATTCAGTTTCAACAAGAAACTAGAGTCATTCATAGGAAGATGGATGCATATTGAGGCCATACTCTGAAGTGAAATAAGTAGGACACACAACTGTAAATTTTGAATAGTTTCTCTGGTGTGAAAAACTAAAAGTGTATATGAGATCTAAATTGTATAACTGATAATGTGAAATAGGAATAAAAGGGCTAAAGGTGTAGAGGAAGTGGGAAGGGTAGGGTTAAAAGAAATAAGGGAAGAGAAAAAATATGAGAAAAGGAAAAAATAGAAGCAAAGTCTTTGTAAATAGGGAAGTGTGGAGGGGGTGAAGGGAGGGCAGGGGCAAGGGTAAAACAATTAGAGCCAAGCTCTGTAGTGTAAAGGTACAAGATCCCAATGATGAATGTAACTGTACTGTATACCTAAAGAGTACCAATAAACTCAATGAAAAGAAAGAAAGAAGTGCCATGCGACCGAATTCCCCTCCTAGATTTGTACTCAAAAGAAATGAAAGTGTCTGTTTTCACAAAAACTGTAAAATAATGTAGTAGAATTATTTATTAGATACAGCTCCACGTGGATACAACCCAAATGTCCATTCACAGATGAATAGATAAATAAAATGTAGTATATCCATATGGTGGAATATTATTTGGTTACTAAAGGAAAATACTGATATATTGTACAACATGGATGAATCTTGAAGATGTTCTACTAAGTGAAAGAATCCACAAGCGCCCACATCCAGTGTGACACGTCTTTCCAAGGAGAGGAGATCTGAACACACAAAGAGATCCCACACATGAACATACACACGGGAGAGGCCATGTGAGGACAAGGCAGGAAGGCGCCCATTTACAAGCTGTGGAAAAGACCACAGAAGAAACCAGTGCTACTGACACCATGACTATGGGTTGTCAGGCTCCAGAGCTATGAGCAAAACAAATTTCTGATGCTTGTGACACCAGTCTGTGGTATTTTGTTTGCCCTACTAACTCATACAAATGAACTACCCATTTCTCTCATACCCATTTCCCTCCCTTTCTCTCATGCCCCTTGATCTTCTATCAATGGACGTTTCTATCAATTTTTTGCACATGGTACTGTAGGCCACAAAGAACTGTTAGCGGCATGCTCCCCACTCTCAATGTCTCCAGAACTTTCCCAGTGAATTCCATGAGCATATACTTGGAAGCCTCTCTTCTCCTTGGACTTCTCACCTGGGAAGCTGCCCCTCTCTTGAGATTTTGTTCCTGTCCTTCTCCCCTCTTCCTTCCTGTGAATGTCTCCATCCCTCTCCCATTTTGTGATGAGCACTTAACTTCCTCTTTCTCAATGGTAACATTTCCTGCCTTTCAGTGGCATCTGCATGAAAGAAGGGACATTTGATCTGGGGTTATGCATCTGTGGAGAAGTGTGATCTGGCAGTGTCATGTTCAGCCAGGGTGTGTCTTGCCAACCTGTGAGACTGAGCTTTGGGAACAGAGGAACTTTATCTTTTACATCCCAGCCTCTCCCATGGAGACCTGCCCGCTGTCTTCAAAAATAGGAGGCAGGAAAACCCAGGGAGGAAAAGAGAACCGAACCTACACCATCTCCTTTCTGGTCGAGACATCCCTCACCCCATGTAGCCCTATGCTTGGTCTTAGACATAAAGGGACTTGTCTTGCCTTGTAAAACATACAACATGGGGAACATCATTTTTTGTCCTAGTAACTTACAAGCTGTCCGGAATGGGAGCCCAAACTTCCCTTGGATGTTATTCACCAGCACAATCTGGCCTGTCCTCCGGGAGATCATGTTAGGAAGCAGGACTAAAAGATACAATGAGAGAAAGAAAGAAGTGCCATGCGACCGAATTCCCCTCCTAGATTTGTACTCAAAAGAAATGAAAGTGTCTGTTTTCACAAAAACTGTAAAATAATGTAGTAGAATTATTTATTAGATACAGCTCCACGTGGATACAACCCAAATGTCCATTCACAGATGAATAGATAAATAAAATGTAGTATATCCATATGGTGGAATATTATTTGGTTACTAAAGGAAAATACTGATATATTGTACAACATGGATGAATCTTGAAGATGTTCTACTAAGTGAAAGAATCCACAAGCGCCCACATCCAGTGTGACACGTCTTTCCAAGGAGAGGAGATCTGAACACACAAAGAGATCCCACACATGAACATACACACGGGAGAGGCCATGTGAGGACAAGGCAGGAAGGCGCCCATTTACAAGCTGTGGAAAAGACCACAGAAGAAACCAGTGCTACTGACACCATGACTATGGGTTGTCAGGCTCCAGAGCTATGAGCAAAACAAATTTCTGATGCTTGTGACACCAGTCTGTGGTATTTTGTTTGCCCTACTAACTCATACAAATGAACTACCCATTTCTCTCATACCCATTTCCCTCCCTTTCTCTCATGCCCCTTGATCTTCTATCAATGGACGTTTCTATCAATTTTTTGCACATGGTACTGTAGGCCACAAAGAACTGTTAGCGGCATGCTCCCCACTCTCAATGTCTCCAGAACTTTCCCAGTGAATTCCATGAGCATATACTTGGAAGCCTCTCTTCTCCTTGGACTTCTCACCTGGGAAGCTGCCCCTCTCTTGAGATTTTGTTCCTGTCCTTCTCCCCTCTTCCTTCCTGTGAATGTCTCCATCCCTCTCCCATTTTGTGATGAGCACTTAACTTCCTCTTTCTCAATGGTAACATTTCCTGCCTTTCAGTGGCATCTGCATGAAAGAAGGGACATTTGATCTGGGGTTATGCATCTGTGGAGAAGTGTGATCTGGCAGTGTCATGTTCAGCCAGGGTGTGTCTTGCCAACCTGTGAGACTGAGCTTTGGGAACAGAGGAACTTTATCTTTTACATCCCAGCCTCTCCCATGGAGACCTGCCCGCTGTCTTCAAAAATAGGAGGCAGGAAAACCCAGGGAGGAAAAGAGAACCGAACCTACACCATCTCCTTTCTGGTCGAGACATCCCTCACCCCATGTAGCCCTATGCTTGGTCTTAGACATAAAGGGACTTGTCTTGCCTTGTAAAACATACAACATGGGGAACATCATTTTTTGTCCTAGTAACTTACAAGCTGTCCGGAATGGGAGCCCAAACTTCCCTTGGATGTTATTCACCAGCACAATCTGGCCTGTCCTCCGGGAGATCATGTTAGGAAGCAGGACTAAAAGATACAATGAGCCATAGTTAGACATTGTAGGTGGCAGCAGGCAGACCCTTCCCCACACTGCTTCATCACACAGGGCTCCACGGTCTTGGTGGCAGTCACACTGCTGCTGGGCACAGATGTAGCAGTCATTGATCCAGTGTGTTCAAAGAGAGGGCTGGCTCAGCTGGCACCTTGCTGGATGATTTTAAGTGACTCACCAACGTGCATTAATTCAATGACACCAGTGTCAGTAATAGGAAGGTATTTTCTTTTTAATTATTGCCTCAAGAAGAAAGTCTCTTGTTGGTTCTGTCTTCAACACCTATCTTGCAAGTGCTCATCTCTTAACAAAAAAGAGGAAAGAACTACATCCTTGAGGCTGTCTTGGAAAAATTTGGGGATAAACTCAAGTTGCCTTGTAATGACTGAGAGTGAATAGGGTATTTATTTCTTTATTTATTTAGTGCTGGGCATGAGACGCAGAGCCTCTTGCATGTTAGGTAAGCCTGCTACAATTGAGTTACCTTTCAAGCCCTTTCTATTTTGAGACACAGTCTCACTAAGTTGCCCAGGCTGGTCTTGAACTTATGATTCTCATACTTTAGCCTCTTGAGTAGCTGGGATTACAGGCACACACCACTGTGTCTGGCTGCAAAGGGTTTTGAATCTATGTTGATATTATAAAGATTTTTTTGCAATGTGCATTTAATTTTAAAATGAGAAAACATGCACAAAGATATTAAGTAAATTAATAGTACAGGTGGAAAAAAAGGAAAGATGGGCCAGAGATGAAAAGATGGTGCTTAATGACTTAACTTTCAGAATGGTTACCTAAATCCAGCCCCTTCTTATTAGAGACAAGCAAACAAAGGCAAAAGCCAGTGACCAGGCTCAGGTTCCTTAGCTTGTGAGAATTTCAGCCAGTCCTGGCCTTTCCCAGCTGCCTTGTCTTGTCTTACTCTTTGCTTTGTTGCCATGAAGCAGCCCCGTTAAAGGGATGACATACTTTTGCCGACCTTCTTTGTGTGTCCACAGACAGTGGGCTGGAGGAAGCTGGTCTCTCTGTGGCCCCGTTCTAGAAGCTCTGGAAAGTCATCTTTCTGCCCCAACTGCTTCTTTTTCCTCACCTGTCTCAGAGTTCCATTACTAGAAGTGCTCAGCATGGGAGTTGGCTGTGCCTTCCCACCTCTGCCAGGGCGCCCTGTTCCCTAGGTGGAGCTGTTCTTCATGCCTACACTTTCCCCTGAGCTTCTGCTTTGACATATATTTATTTTTTTTTGAGAGGTGAAGCTTGAGTTTATGACTGTGTGTTATGGCTCTCTCCAGCCCTAGCTTCCCAGCCGGCTCCCCTGCATTGGAACTCAAATCTCCCCATAGATGTCTTGAAGACTCCTCCCGTAGGTACACATGGAACCCAGCACTTTCCCCTCTAAATGCAGATGTCCTTTTGCCTCCCTTGTTTCTGTGAAGGGGCCAAAAGAATCATGGGTTTCTTGTAATTTGGGGATAAACTCTTTTTCTTCTTTATTTCTGAGAACAGAACCTTTGACCAACTGGCACTGTTAGGAGTAGACTAACTGTGAGGCTGAAGTAGCCAAATGTTTGTAAAAAATGAGGCCAGTTGTCGAGAGATATTAAATCAGAGGGGAGTAATGAGTGCAGGTATGAAGAGAGGTAAAGGGCAGAACTTGGTGGGGAGAAAGGTTTCATAGTGATCTTGGCATATATAAGTAACAATATTTCCAAAATCATTTTTCTTCACCAAAAATTACAGTGAGAACATTGAAAACTTTCATCAAGTAAGCAAGGCATTTTCTGATGAGACGGGGAGTCCCATCCAGAATTGGGTTACTGACTAGGAAACAGTGTAGCAGTGAATGACCCAGAAACATATGGGAAAATGAAACTCACGAGACCTTTGGTCAAGGTGATGGGCCCAAAGTAATTGGCGTCCATGATCTTTTGGTCGAGCTCCAGAGAAATCGTATGGGCAGGCCCCTTCACCTTCACACTGGCGTTGTTGATGAGGATGTCCACACAGCCATAGCAATCCAGGACTTCTTTTGCCACATCTTGGACACAGCTGATGTCTGAGAGATCCAGTAGGACCAGCTTGGGGGTGAATGTCTGCTGAACCGACGAAAGAGTCAGGGCACGTGTGGAACCACTTCCCCCTTGCAGACCTTGGGGCCCTCAAACTCAGGGCCACCCTTTTTGAGATTCAAAGCTCATGGAATGACTGCAACACAGCAAAGAGGAAAGAGTGGAACTGACTCTGGAAGGATCCGTGCTTGGGGACCAAGGCAGCAGCAGCTTCCCTCAGCAATGTGCAGTAATAAGTCTGCACTTTTGGCCAGAAATGTTCCAGAATGGATAAATCCAAGAATATCACCAATATCACCCTTCATGGTGGCCTCATACTGATTCCAGTGGGGAAATCGTGGCTTTTAACATTTCTGAGCAAATTCTTGGAAGTTGCTTTTCAAATTAACTTACAAGCTGCAAGGAAATCCATGACTACTCTGAGCCCACATTTTGACTTGAGTCAAAATCATATACTCAATACAGCATTTTTGGAGCACCTGACGTGCAGGCACTGTGCTCAGTCAGCCCTGTGCACTTGGGGTCATCAAGAATGTACTTGTCTAGAGTAGAGGACAGATAAGAAAATTGGTAGCATATCGAAGGCTCTTTAAAAATCCTGAAGTAAAAACACCAGACAAATCTGTCCGAATGCAGTATTTCCCACCCAATGGACTGCAGAATCTTAGTTTTACCCCAAACCTAATAACATCCCAAGAAACTCACACAGAGAATTCTGTGTTGTCCTATTTTCTCTGTCTCATCAAATACCAGATTTAGGTCTGAATGACCCCTGGCTACTTCCAAGCACCAAAACTAGCCTCACAGTAAAGGCATAAAAAAACAATTCCAAAAGAAATGCTGAGGTCGTTCCTTAAACAATGCTCCTGAAGTGCTTTAAAAATTGTAGCTGCATTGGAACAAGTGCTCACTTACTGGGTGGCTTCTTGGGAGGGGACTCCATGGCCCTGATTGCTTTGAAGGAGTTATTATTATTTTTGTTGTTGTTTGTTTTAAAATTAGGCATGTTTGTAATCGCATCCCATACCTGGGGCAGCTCCTATCTTTGGATACTTTTTGGTTCTTTCATAGAATTATGATGAGAGTTAGTGCTGAATTTTAGGCATGGTGAACTGTTGGAACACTCTTAATGACAGGCAGATATACCCAGGTCAAGGTCAGCAGAGCCATTGCTTTATGCTTACATCTGCAGAGAAACCACATTTCCTCCACCTGGCCCAAGAGGCTCCCCATCAATGGTAACCAAAGATGGCCAGCAGTGATCCAAGCTGACTTCTGAAAGCCTTACCTTGCTGGGGTCAGCCACGCTGATCAAGGCATCATATAGGCTCTCTAGCTTCTCCCAGTTCTTTCCACACAGCACCAGTCTTGCCCCACCAGTGTGGAACACCCGGGCACACTCTGTGGAGAAGAAGGAAGTAGGGCAGCTGCACTGTGTAAATGGAGCCACTGACAGTGACTCTCTGCTCTCTCATGAACTTTAGAAGTCAAAGAGTTCAAAAGATTTAGCCCCCAAGGCCTTTCAGAGGTCATTTTATTCCATCACAGGCCCAGGCTAGAATTTGTGGTTGTTTTCAGCCTCAGTTTGGTTGCTTCTTGAGAGGGGAAGCTTGCAGAGAGGTGAAAGAGCCCTTATTATGTTGTTTTGATGGCTGGAAGTTCTTCCTTAGCTGAACAGAAAGATGACCCTGCCCACATAGTATTTAGGGCCCTAAGAAGATCCCAGCTTAAAGATATTGGAAAGAGCCACCATGTCTGGCTCATTCCTATGCAATTTTTCTGTGCCTATATCTCAGCTAAGGCTCTTTTTATGAAAAAAGTGAATCATCTTTCTGGTTAATTTTACTCTGGACTAGTTCCCGATTCACCCAATATAGAAATTTCCCAACTGGGCAATAGTTGGTAACAGTATCCTCATACTTATAAGCAGTAAGAGCTCATGTATTTTAATAATTTACTTGTTCTAGGAAATGTTGAAAGGAATTTACATATATTAGCTCATTTAATTCTCACCATAACCTCAGGTGGTAGTATCTTAGGTTAGGTCCCCTTAGAACCAGAATATGAGGCAGAGATTTAGGAAGTCAGGATTTATTGAGAAAGTGCTTTTCAGAGAAAAACTTGCAGGAAGTGAAGACCTGCAGTGGGTGCCAGGCAAGGAAGTGGTCAGGCAAAGCATAGCCTTGGCCCGATCCAAAGAAGAGCGTAGAGTCTGATCCCCTGTGCAGACCATTCCATGTGGAGGTAAGAGGACCAGTCTTTTGCACTCCTGTGCCAACCAGTCACTGACTATGGGCTGTCCCCTGTGGGGTGAGGGCATAGCAGTACAACTCCTTAGCAAGGGCAATGTGCACTGGAATCCCAGAGTGAAGCTGGGACATGAACCTGAGGACCCTGACATCCAAGTCGGGGATGGCTTGTTCTCCACACTAGGCAGCCTTGGAGCCAATCCCCACTACTGGGAAAGGAGCGTGTTGTGGGTCTTCAGTTGCCCACCCACTCTGTCCTCCCCTCACATTATGATGGACACATATTTGCAAGCTGGGGGCTAAAGGAGGAACCTGTGGCCAGGAGCCAGACTTAGCCTCTGGCCTTGGCCTCTTTTCCTTCTCATCATTCTGTGTTCTCCACTGCACTAGCACCTTGTTTTCCCACATGTGCTTGGGAGGCTAGAGCCCAGGATGTGCTTAACATGGCAAACCCAGGAGCAGTGCTCCCAGATAAGCTGTTCTTGTTGAAACCAGGCCTTCAGTACACCAGTTGCTCTTATTTTTGTTCTTTATTGGCTCAGCTTGGCATCTACCTTGTGTCAAGCACTTTGCAACTAACCTTTTCTTTTTTCAACCAATAAACATAAATTTAGACTTCCTTCCATATTTCATCACGTCTAAGATGCTGTTGACTATAAGGTGCCTCTTGATTTCAGAGATCAGAAAATGAGAAAGGGTGACCTAGAGGAAGGGTTAGATGCTATTGATTCCAAGGTGACCAGATTTCAGTGCCATTTGAAGGAGAGTGATTGGGTATCTCAGAGGTGGTAGGAAGACAGGCAGAGTTGATGTTTGGTTGGTAATCCCTGAAGCAGTTCACGGGCATTAGTTAGACATTCTGATTGTCACTCTTGCAGTACACAGAGTGGGCACAGGTGACACAATGCCTGGCTTGGCTGAATTGTGTAGTCTGGGACAAGGACTAGACATGGCTTGTTGGGTTGATTTCCTTAGTACACAGTCTGGCACTGCCTCCTTGATGCCACCTGGTACTATCCAGGGAGTTCATCAGGCTTTGTGGTCCCAAGGCGTGTGGTGGGCTGCATGCTGCTGATATTGTCCTGTCCTAGCCCCTCACTTTTTCTTGCCTTGGACTTAAGAAATGGAGCAACTGGAAGCTGGAATCATGGTCCTCAGCAGCACTTGGAGGCCAGGCACTTATTTAAGGTCATACACACCCAGCTTCTCAAGTTATTTTTAAATACTTGGACTTTACTTCTTTCTGCTTTGCATTTCTTTCCAGGGCAGGTCAATAAGGTGCAGTTAAAAAAAAAAAAAAAGAATGTGGACTGTAGTCACAGCAGATGAGGGCACATTGCTGTGCAAATGCCATTTTGCTCCTAACCTGTATTTCCTGGGGACCTGATTTACACAGTGTCTGACTACAACTGAATGAGATTTAAGAAACTTAAAAAGACCATTAAAACAATATTGTTTTCCAAGTCCTCACAGAACATAGACTGAGAAAGACCACATCCAGGCTATAAAACAGACCTTAACGCATTCAAAGGAACTGAAATCATACTCTATGTGATTATACGCTGACCATTTTGGAATCAAATCGGAAATCCGTAGAACAAATATGCAGGCACATACTTTCTAGTGTAAATGCATGCGATTCCTTCAGCAAGTGGTTAAGTAAATAAATAGATGTTGTCTGGGTATGTACTGGATGCCGAGCACCGGGTCAGGTGCCCGGATGCCTGGATGAACAGATGACGGGTTTACCCATTAGGAAGCTGTGGATCATCTGAGAAGCACTGGTACTGCACAGTGCGGATGCCTGGATGATGCAGCATCTGGAAGGAGCCACAGAGATAAGGGGTGGTTCCTCGTGGGCCATCCAAGAGGGAGGGGCAATTAAGGCAGCAGGGAAGGCCCCAAGATGGAAGCTGTATCAGCGGCCACGTGTTAGCAGGCTGGCCTTATTCCAGTCCAATGCATTCCATTCGGGAAGCAAGATTGTCCCAAAGCTTTGGACTGAATGACTGTAGGTGAACATATCTTCTCCAATTTTCCAGGACAACATTGTCATCTTGGGTCTGGTCTGCTTGACATATATGATTGGCCCTTAGAGAAGCTGGGGTTTCAGTTGGAATACCCCTTTCTCCCTTCTAAGTACTGACTCTAATGAGGCAGGATATTCTCTTTGGGAATTTCTCCTGAGACTCATGGAAGGGTCACATAGGACATTATGTCTGTCTGCCTCATGCTTTGTTTTTTCAATCTGTGTGGTTGACCCAAAATGATCACTTGCTGAAATCTAACCTATTCTCAGAGCATGTGGTTTAGTTCCCTCTGGGATGCCCAAGAGAACAAAGAGTAGATTCCGAGCCGGGTGTGGTGGTGCATGCCTGTAACCCCAGCACTCGGGAGGCTGAGGCAGGAGGATCCCTATGAGTTCGAGACCAGCCTGGGCTACATAGTGGCCATTCCATGTAGGTTCCAGGTCAGTCTCAACTACATAGTGAGACCCTGTCTCAAAAAAAAAAAAAAAAAAAAAAGGACCCAGGCAAATTCACAAA